GTTTCCCAAGATAACCTTTCCGAACAGCATCTTCAAAGACTCTGTGGACCCACCGATTATCCGAATCGTCCCATATCTCTAGTGGTGTTGAGAAAAGATTTGATTCGCTTCGTTGGATAAACTTGATGGCTTTGATTTGATGATCCATCAGCTTTGTTTTGCAGCCTGGTATGGTATGTCAATCGTCTTCTTCAATAGCTGTTGGTGGTACCATGTCTTCTGTCTGTTGTACACCCAGAAAATGAGTGGGGTCGTAGCTGGGTATGTGCTTAAGCATGATATTTGCTAGGTGGAAAGACTTCCTAACTTGAGTAATAAAATTTTGTCGAGAAAAGACGAATCCATGAACAAATGATTCTGTCCTCATTGAGGGATGTACATAAAAAATTCGTAGATATATTTTATTTTCCAATTCTTTGAGTGCCTTGAGGGTAATCGGTTCAGAAACGCTACCGATATGACCAATTAAGGGGCCAAGATGCTTGCTTTGGTTTCCAGACAAGTCACCAACCCGTTCATAATTGGAACATAGTACATGTATATTGCTCCTTCCTCGATGAAAAACAGCGTCTTGAAGACCGTTCTGAGATGAGCTTAAGGATTGAGTAAGGATGACTGGTGCAATAAAAAAACCTAAGCAAGATATTGAAGACATTCCTGAAGTCTTTATGAGGTATTGAATGGGTTTGTGTTAACTAAATTGGTAATAGATTACTAGATGATTCTGGTTAAGGTATTGTCTTTTGGAGAGTTTTAGAAGAAAAAGGGAAGAGGTCGACAGTAGATTATTCTAAATGCCTAATCCATGTGACATATATACCATGCCCTACCAGCCATTATTATCTACAAAGCTGATGGTTTTTTGCAACTTTGGACATCTTTGTTTGGTGATATAATATCAAATATTAACACTATTTATACTAAACCGATCCAAATCAACAATCTTGATAATATCACCATATCACATATTTCCAAGAAGTTTGTGAAACCTTGTTTGCTTGTGCCTCATTTGATATCATTACCTGTGATGAGCCAAATTAATGTAAATATATGCAAGTACCTACATATGTCTGTTCTGGTGCAGTGTATTGTTTTCTCCAATGGTTGAATATTTAATTGTGTGATTTATGGATAGGTATTCTTCCTGAACTTATCAACAAAAACATTTATTTCACAGGTAGCTATACAATATTTCAAAAAGTAGGAAGATCTTAGTAGAATATGTTCCATCTTCCAACTGATTTTCAAAAGAAAAATTGAAAAAAATTGTCCTTGGTATTGGAATAATGTGAGGTTGTTGGTGTGTTTCTTGAGATGTACAAAATTACCAACCTCATGATGGGAATTCTGGTATTCAAAAAAGTAACAAATTAATTGCTTCACCAATATTTCTTCAAGGATGTTAATTTTCAACAGCAAAAGTATTGATTTCTTGGGTTGTCCTTGAAGTCTTGTAGAAATGTAATTTAAACATTATTTTCAATGAAATATAACATGAAATGGCTAGTAAAAGTTAAAATTCATCAAAAACATCAGTAGGCATGTCAAGTTGCATCTGACATTTTCAATCCTAGTTTTAAGGTGAAGGATTGGAAATACTTTGATTTGGTCATGAATGAGCTTTCCTAATATTCTGATTATCTCATCCCAACTTTGAAAATCCATCATTGAATTAAAGTGCACCCATAACATTTTTTTCACTTGTTTGCAACATTTGAAAAATTAATCAACAAGATATTATGTAAAGGCCCACTTTAAAATTCAACTGAGTGGTGAAAACATTAGTTTTGATATTTTAATGAATGATCAGAATATTTTCTCATCAGATCCACACAGATCAAGGTGTGATAAATATCCCATCGACTTGCACTCAAATAAAAAAACTCATGCATCTCCTTAATTTATGCAGGAAGTCTCAGGACTGAACCTAACACCTGTTTGGAATATGTGGTCCTGAATGATCCATTTTTTCAGGAATTGGAGATAGTCTGCCTAGTCGTCAGAAATGCTTTGATAAAAATCTACTAAACACTGTGAAGAGTACAACCATCCTTCAATCTTGAAAAATTTAATGCAAGTTATATTGGAATTATTATGGACTTATAGATTTTAATCATGAATCAAAGTTTGTGCTATCCATTTTGTGGTACCCATGAGAGAAGATACTCACTTGAATCCTAGCTCCCCTTTCCATGGATTATTGACTTGTACTCTTATGTCTTAATACTATTCATCCTTACAATGAACCACAAAGACAAAGGCAATTGTTTCTTTCAATAATAAAATTCATTCCAGCCACTCAATTTCTTCTCCTCATGTACTCATACTTTTTTCCTACATTATTTGGAAAGTTTGAAAAAATCAAATGTGTAGTTTAATAGGCTTGATGATTTAATTTAACTACATGAATCTTTTATGCAGTGTTTCAAAAGCCCAGTTGAATCCAAAATAAAATCCAAATTATCATATTGTTTGTTTGTTTTTCCTCCCAGGAGCTGTAAAGTGCATGTGTGAATCAAAGCCAGATGGGATTTCAAATCTTTGGGGGATTTGAAATACATTGAAAAAAATTCACCAAGTATTACATTAAATTTCATTTGTATGAAAATTGTGATGATTGATAATGAATAAAATGAATTTGATTCCTGGAATAAGAATTCTCAATCCTGATACAAATGAATATGATTTTTGAAAGGCTTTCATCTTATGTGGAAGGTAATGAACATTGGAATCAGTAAATTTTGCCTGGAGATCTGACCAAGTGAAAAGAAAAATCTCCCACACACCAATAAAAATTTTACCAAAAAATCACTATTTACATCTTGTGATCTATAATTATGATAATTTTGAGAAAGAATTGATTATTAATTTTGAAAATCATTGTGTTCACACCTTGGAATTTCCTCAATCTCAATCCTTTTTATTCATTCTGACCAAATGTTTGAGCTGGATATATAATGCTTCTGAAATACACAATAGTTCAATTGGGATACCTGGGTAATGGAGATACAAATTAAGTAATGCATAGGACAGGCATAGGGCATAAATACAGTCATTGATATATCAAGGATGGGGCTGGGATAAGCTGAACCACCCAATAGTGGGTTCCTCATCTTTTTTCCTGGTGTTTGGTCTACTCTACAAAACAAATTACTTGATGGTTTTTATTCTTGATCACATGTGTTTAGGCAGACAACCTGGAGAGTCTTGCTTCAAGGGTATTACTCCCTTGTTGAATTCAAGGCTCTGAGAAATGCCTTGCAATGAATGAAGGATGGGATTATTTCCAGAGATACAATCAATGCCTAAACAAAACTTGGGGTTTGGATTCCTCAGACAGGGCTCAGCGACCACTGCAAACAGGAAATGAGGCAGGATGGGATTATTTCCAGAGATACAATCAATGCCTAAACAAAACTTGGGGTTTGGATTCCTCAGACAGGGCTCAGCGACCACTGCAAACAGGAAATGAGGCAGCCGCAGACTCACAGAGGCTGTAATATCAGCGGTGGGCCGCTACGCTACGCTACGCTTTTGGCCCAAAAAGCGTAGCGTAGCGGCGCTTTTTTTTTTCACCAAAAACCGTAGTGTTAGCGGTTTTTTAGCGGTTTTTCGCTACGCTACGCTGCGCTACAGCGCTTTTAGCGGAAAAAACGGCCAAAAACCGCTAAAAACGGCTGTAGCGCAGCGTAGTGGGCCCTTTTTTGCGGCCCACACGCGTAGCGTTAGCGGTGTCGTGGCGGAATTCCGCTACGCTACGCTAATCGCTAACAGCGATTCCGCTGCGTTACGCTACACTAACCACTACGGTTAGTGTAGCGGCCCACCGTTGGTAATATGTAGTTTGGTTTTTTTTTATTTCAGATGATAAAAACAAAGACTAGACTAACACCTGATAGGGCAACATATACCTTCCTCAAAGGACCTCTCTGAGCAACATGGGAGAGGTCCTTCAAGAAGCGTGCACACTGATTGGCCAACTTCTCAAAATTGCCACAACTTGCCAAAACTTTCCCTGTGCCCCCTCAAACCAACCAAAGTTTGACTTCCAAAAAAAAAAAAAAGGACAGTGTCACAAGTTTTCTTGTTGGATCTTTGCCTCAAGTTCATCTCTTTGTTGCCCTGCTTGACAGGTTTTTGTTTGATGGTATAGATCCATTAACCAAACCCATAAACCCCACTGATAGTAAATATAAATCACTACTTCCATCACCTCTACCAAAGAAAAAAAACATGATTCATTCCATTCTAATCTGTCTATCTATCTGTGTATGTATAACAAAAAGAAATAAAAACAGAGAAAACCCAATTTTTATGTATTTTCAAATCATTACCAATTGTAGTGACTCAGAGGGGTCTAAGCGTATGGATTCCAGTAGGTCTCTCCCGGAGGAGACAGATATAGTCTCTGTTGGATTATGAATATCCTTATATTCATTATACAATATGCATAAACCAAAACTCAAAGCAATCATGTATATAGTCTATACCTGATGGCAAGTGCAGTTTTTCTCCAGTGAATCAAAACCTCCTTCTTCTCACTCACAAAGTGTCACTGGCCTGTCAGCCGTGAACTTTGGTTTTCATCTTGAGTTACACTCAACAGGTTATGAGGCCCATGGCTCACCCTGCTCACGACAACCTTTCGACTACACTTGAACTCGTTTCTCCTTACAACATCCCCTCGGCAAACCAACTTCAACTAACCCCACTGCAACAATGCCGGGTCGAACCACTCAAAATCCTTCGGCTCTTATTGGAAATGTGCCAGCTCTAGACGGCAATTCAGTTGGCTTCCCGGCCTGGCGCACAAGACTTGAAGAGTTGTTTGCTATTCAGGGGGTGCACGACATTGTAACTAGAGATGGTCGAAGGGTATCCGTTGCAGATACCCGTTATCCGCTGGCGGATACCCGCCAACGGGTGCGGATGGCCCCTTTTCCGCAAAAAGTTGGCAGGTATCCGGGTATCCCAAAGGATACCCGCGGCCGGAAGGGGAGATGGCCGGCTGGAAGGAGACCCTTCTAGCCGGCGAGGTACTTGTACCTTGTCGACTGGAAGGGTGTCCTTCCAGTCCTTGTACCTCGTCGACCGGAAGGGCTTCCTTCCAGCCAGCGAGGTACTTGTACCTCGTCGACTGGAAGGAGACCCTTCCAGCCGTCGAGGTACTTGTACCTTGACGGCTGGAAGGAAGCCCTTCCAGCCGGCCCTTTAGAGGGCGGGTATCCGAGGATACCCGCTGCGGCCAACGGATACCCGCCAGCGGGTGCGGATGCGGATTCGGATGCTCAGATGGCCAGAAAAAGCAGCCGGATATCCGGATGCCAATCGACCATCTCTAATTGTAACCGGCAAGCTTCTCCGACCGGAAACCGATTACAAAGACAAAGATTCCAAACCGGTGACTCAAGGATCTCACCGACTGTACTATGCCGAGGAATCCGCCTCCGACTGGGATGTGTTATTGGATATCGCTAGAGCAACTCTCAAGATGACTCTGTCGGTCGATCTAGCGATGAGGTACAAAGATACGAAGCCAGTCAGTCTCCTTTTTAAAACCATATGTGACGCATATGAGAAGAACACCCGAGCGCGCCGAATGATGCTTCAAGATGCATTCTGGACGGCTTGTCATGACCCAAGCAACCCCATCGCCACCTGGATTGCCCGTGTCAGAAACTTGGCTTCGGATCTAAAGTCGGTTAGGTTAACCCCCGCAGACCAACAGATATGCGATAGGCTCCTCCGCGGTCTAGACAAATCGTGGAAACCAATTCGTGATCATCTCGTATACTCGCCGAACGAGATATCACTCGACGATGCAATTGGAGCGCTTGAGGCGCACGAGGTCTCTATGCAGGCGCCGTTTGATCAACCACAAGACACGTTTGCGGCACTGGCAGTCGCGAGGAAGAAGAAACCGGGATGCTGGAACTGCGGAGAATTCGGACATCACTCCTCCTTGTGTCCCAACCTCTCAGTGAAGAATAAATCAAAGGCAAAGTTTGGGACTCGCGCCGGGGCGGCGTCCGCGGTAGCTTTAGGAGGGGGCGGCCCTAGCGATTAAGAAGAAGAGGAAGACGATTTCGACCCGGAAATTGACGTTGTCTGGGGATGAACCCCAAAGTAGATAACTTGACGTTCGTAGGATAGGCAACTCCGGCAAATCCTGAAGGCCAATTCCTCCCCGGTGGTAGCTGATATATCTGTTATCATGACACCTCCCTGTCTACGACCACCGATGGATCTCTGTCCTGATTAAACCAATTATTTTTTTCCTCACTCTACAGTATCTATTTCCTGTCCCCATAACAAACTACCTTCACTTTAGCCATCAATCAGTCTAGGAGTTTTATTTAGTTTGAGTTTTTTGTTTCAGCAAGGGGGTGTGTTGGATTATGAATATCCTTATATTCATTATACAATATGCATCAACCAAAACTCAAAGCAATCATGTATATAGTCTATACCTGATGGCGAGTGCAGTTTTTCTCCAGTGAATCAAAACCTCCTTTTTCTCACTCACAAAGTGTCACTGGCCTGTCAGCCGTGAACTTTGGTTTTCATCTTGAGTTACACTCAACAGTCTCCTCTGGCTGGCTGAGCCGCAGCCAATTCAGACCCTGCGACCAAGGTCACAACATCAATTGCAAGATCAGGCGCTTTGAGATTGATGACTGTGACAACAGGACAGTGAAGGATCCCAGGATGCTCTCACAAATTATTAAGATTATTAAGATTTGAGTTATTGTTTTTATTATTATGAGAGTTAGGACAACCAGGAGGTGGGCCTAGCCAAGGGCCATGGTTTTTGTGGTGAAGGGGAGAAGGTAGCAAAGGGTGATAATAGAGTATACCTGTATGTTGGTGATGAGAGCAAGAGTAATCTCCTGAGCCACCTGTAGATCCAGAGCCTTGTCAAAGTCTAGTAGCATCAAAACACACTTTCACCATGATTATTAGTGCTTTAGCTTAATTATGTCTAAATAGATTTAAATTACATGGTTCATGTCTTTAAATTCTTCTTACGCCTCAAGTGCAGAAGAATTCCCCCTCAAATAGTTCTGGCCCTTGAGTGGAAACCCACTTATTAATCAGAATTGTTGTTAATTCTTCAAATTTATTGAGAATACCACAAACCCAAGTGAGTTGAATACTTCCTCATATTGGCTCAGGATGCCTATTAATCTATCAGAAGGTGTCTGGGAAAGACAGGTGGGTGGGCACTAGGGGAAGGAAATGAGTCAAATGAAGTTTGAAGAAATGACTAACAGCTGAAAGAACTTCTTCAAAGTATCTTATGCTTATCATCCAGGTCATCAGGATTTGCATACAAATTGTTTGTTGAGGGTAGCTAGGGTGACACAAGAGCTAAGAGATATGACAGGGTGCCAAGGACATTGAGTCAAGGTGTGATTATTGTTCAGCAAAGTGAAAGTGAAAGCAACTGAGACCAAGGCTGAACTACATAAGATGGTACAAGATATGGGCCAGCTTGTGGGAGTATGGAGTAAAAGCATACAACTGTGGTTGAATTGAATACACTTTTCTAACATTGTTAGCTGGGAGCTAGTTGGATTTGGCCATGGTCTTATCTTTTGTGCCATTGGCAGAGGCACTGTTTTCCTTTTGGGAGACATGTGGGTTTCCACAGGTGTGGTCTGGGTTCTAGTATTGGGCGGGGGAGTTGACCCATAGAACAACCGACAGCTGGACTGGCAACCTTCCATGGATATGGTTTCAGTAAGAGATTTGTTGTATGTTTTTGCTGGATGGGCAGCGGGCTGAAGAGGAGAGAGAGGATTGAAGGACTTGGCAAAAATGAGCAGTTGTCATCTCTGCCACCAGTGGGCAGCCTGCACAAACTTTAAAAATTTCTCTGAAATATTGCAGATTGGCTGGAGAATATCTTTTTGTGCCAATCCCATAACTTCAAACATTTCCAGAAACTGTTGATGGTGATCAAATCTTTCCACAGAGGTTTTTGGTTTTTAGAACCAATTTTCAAAGATGTTTGGTCATTGGTTAAAAAAACCCAAAAATGTTGGGGGAAAGGCTTCTAGATATGTAGGTTGGAATATTCTAATGACATTCTGATTGACCAAATTGGTTCCCAAATACAAGGAAGGACCAGGAATATTCTTAAATCCAGTTTTCCGCCCAGAAATATTTTGAAAGGATAATGAGAGACAAATAGTGCACCCATGGTGTATCTTCAGACAGCTTTCTTTCTTTTGTTTGGAGGGGGAGGTCGGGTTACTCTTCTTCTCTCACCGGCCACTCACCTCCCATTGGAATCATCAAAACCCACTGCTCTACTTTGCCAACGCCACCAAGGTTTCCCATGAATACTTTCCCACATTTGGTATGATATGGCTGTGATTTGTAGGTCGGATAGATTTCGGATGGAACCACAAAGTAAAGCTTAGGGCGACATTCGGACTCGTCCACCAGCTCTAGAGCCTTGCTGAGGCCTTGATGCTTGATTGGATGTGTTTTGGAAACCGTCGCTTGGAAAAAATTTGCGGGTCCAAGCAATGAATCGATCGATGGGAGTTGTTTACTGACCGGCTGCCAGAACACGTTGGTGCGTAGGTCCACTTCTTCGTAACTTCGGAAGGTTCGACGTTCAGTTGCGGCAAACTCGACGCTAACGTCCTGCTCGTTTGGGGTATCTTGTTTACAAAGTCGACGGACTGGAAACCTTCCGCCTTCTCGCAACATTTTGAAAGTGTATGGCTCAAATAGCAGTCCACGTAGACCGCTGCTATCGGAGCAAGTCCGGAGGAAGTTCTGCAGGTCAGTGCGAAGTTCCTCCTCGATTCTTTCGATCACGGCTTGCGCGACTCTGAGTGATGCAAATCTCACGCAAAACTCATTGACACGTCCGCTAGGGTGACTACAAATGTGTAGCACACGATGGGAATATTCTCCTTCACGAGTTCCAGAGTCATGTGCTTTCTTGATATCAGTCACTTGACCTTTGTAGACGGCTTGAGTCAGATTCCGGACCAGATCTCTCACCACCTCGTCTTCGTTTCCATGTTTTTCGAATTCAACCGAGGCCAAATCAACGACGTATCTCGGCACACCGCCGTACCACTCGAAAAGCCGGTCCATGAGCGCTGTGGGTAATATTTGGTCATCTGGATAGATAATGGTTTTGCAATTTCGCAATTCCTCGTAAGTCCAAGGCGGCATATACAATAGCTTTGTACCACTTGTTTTGAGATATTGAACGTAATTCTCGCCTAGTGGAGAGGTGACGACGAGAGTCTGAGCTTCGCACTTTGTTGGAGGTTGACCATCCACGATGTAAACTGTTTCGTCGTTGACAAGAATCTCGCCAACCTCATGACTGTCGATATTTACCCGTTGAACGCCGCCTGATGTCATCAAGAAGGTTGCTCTACCGCCCTTTCGAGATGGGCAAGGCTCCCACACCACAGTTTTTTGATTGCACGCAGCGATCCACATGTAGTAAGCGGAAAAGATGGTTTTTCCAATCCCAGGAGTACCGGTAACGACCACTTTGGAATAATTGAAATCCACAATATAATCGTAGAGCTCTTTGTAAACTGGGCGCACAAGGAAGCGGGAACCAAGCTTTTTATCTCCCAGGACGTATCCTTCTTTTAGCTCCAAATATTGCACCTCCCCGTTGGTAACCAAGGTGGCCTCTGGTAAAGCCTTCCAAAAGCGTATGATTTCCGCGTGGACGTGCAAATGCAAATCCGGTATAAATTTCGAGGCTAAATATTTGATAATTAAGCAGGAAGAGCAAGAGTACAGCAAGAGCTTTAACTTGGCAATGCTGGCACGAGAGCTTGGACGCGGATGGGATGGAAGCTTGATGGAGGCTCACCTTTCACTATGAGAGGAGTCTTCGAGACGGCACAAGGGGAGAGTTCTGCGGCGATTTCTGCAAGGGCTGAGTCTGAAGTCAGCGCCACTGCATCCTCAGTGGTATGTAGGGTGATATCCGGCGTGTCGAAGCCACCCAATGAACTTGGGAATTCGTCTCTTGCCGCCTTCGCAAGTTGATTAACAAAGACCAGTCCCTTCGTTTCAACGCTGACGAGGTTACCCTTGAACGATAGCCAGATTATGGCAGGAATGCCTTTTGCTATAAGACGAGTCTGCGGGGCAACATCCAATTTGACTTCAAATAACGGGACACGAGATGTTGAACGATCAAGCGATGAGAGGGAGAACAGCGAGAGCTTTAGCTTGGCACTGCTGGCACGAGAGCTTGGATGTGGATGGGATGGAAGCTTGATGGAGGCTCACCTTTCACTATGAGAGGAGTCTTCGAGGCCGCACAAAGGGAGAGTTCTGGGGCGATTTCTGCAAGGGCTGAGTCTGAAGTCAGCGCCTCTGCGTCCTCAGAGGTATGCAGGGTGATATCCGGTGTGTCGAAGTCACGCAAAGAACTCGGGAACTCGGTTTTTGCTGCCTGCGCGAGGTTAATAACGTATACGAGCTCCTTCGTTTGAACGGTAACAAGTTTGTTCTTAAATGATAGCCAGATTTGTGGAGGAAGCATCATGAAAGTATGCGTGTGGACCGACTTGTGAGATTAGGGGCTGATGTCGTAAGGTGCTAAACGCAGAGCCAGAACTGAAGAGAAGAATCAATCAATGAAAGAAGAGAGAAAGACAGACAGAGATTGAAAGAAATCATTTACCCGTATGATTTATATTGACCACGAAAATTAGACGACTATAGAAGAACAGCCAGAAAGATGACCCAGAGTAGAGCTGAAGAGAAAAAAAAATACATTAGAGTGTGAGGGAGGGTGGAGTTACAGCAAGAACTTCTTACCAAAGTGCAGATGACCGTCAGTAGGTTGCTCCGAGTCCGAGTGAGTGAATTGAGTTGATAGGTGAGGAGACAAAATATCGACAAGTATGAGGATAGTTGAGGTTGGTGTTCCGCAGGCCGCAGGAGGGGCTTAAGAGCATCTCTGCCGCGGGCCCTCCAGGTTCCAAACTGAAGTTCCCCCTGAAAGCTTCAAAAATCGACCGACCTGGCCTTGTTGCTTGATGGTGACCATCATCTAAAATTTTACACAACTAATACAGCGGAGGACTTGGCCATCAGTATTATGTGAGATCCAGTATTGGTCCACCAATTACATAAGAATCATGAGTGAAAACATGATCCAATTGGAGTGGGTAATCATATTCCCCATGCATCCTTTATGGCGAGGTTCTATCATGTCTGGAGTCCTATGCTGAGAACAGTGATGGATGGCCACAAGAGAAGAGTCAAGTTGATCTCTTCGTGGCCGTGCTTCACAAGGTTTTTATGTTTTGTTTTGAGACAAGGATGGTATAGATCCATTAACCCAAACCTACAAACCCCATTAATAATAACCACCAAGCAAAAAAAAAAAAAATACACGATTCATTCCATTTTAATCTGTCAATGTATCTATCTGTGTATGAACCAAAGAGAAAGAAAAGAGAGGACTAATTTTTATGTTTTTTAGGATCATTACCGATCGCCAGATCAGGGGCTTCGAGATCGATGACCTCGGCGACAGGACGTTTAAGGATCCCGGGATGCTCTCTCAGAGTATTGAGATTGTTAAGATTCGAGTTATTGTTGCTATTATTATTCGAGTTAGGACGACCGGGAGGAGGGCCTAGCCGAGGGCCATGGTTGTTATGGTGAGGATGGGAAGGTAGCGAAGGGTGGTAATAGAGTAGACCTGTATGTGGGTGATGAGGGCGAGAGTAATCTCCAGAGCCGCCACCACCACCACTACCACCAGAGCCAGGGCCATGTCGACCACCTGAAGTACCAGAAGAGCTCTGCGGAGGCGGAGGGGTGGGTGTGCCGACTGCGGACCGATTTGCTTGGGCCTCCATCCGTCGGATCACTTGTTCTACGTCCGACATCCTGTGTGGCTCGTGATGCAAGGTCTGGGTTGGTGAGGTGCGGATCTGGGATGAGGAGGAGGAGGAGACGGGTTGTTGTTGCGGATGGGAGTGGTGACGGCTGAGGGTCGGAGGAATGATGGTGGAGACGGTGGGTGCAACGGCGGAGGGGATCGGCTGGGGCGAGGCGGGGCGGGAGACCGGGCTGGTGGCCGACCGGACCTCGTCGGTGGAGCCGCTTGGGACGGGCGGTGCAACCGAGGGCAAGCTCTCGCTGATCAGCTCGCCATCAAGCTCGCTAGCCAACCCCCCCGGCCCACCAACGCTCTCCATGATGCTCTCCCCATCAAGCATCACCACGTCCGGCTGGCTCGCCTCGTTCGACGGCACCCGCTGCAGCTCCTGCGTCGTCTCCCCTGTACACGCCTTCCCCATCGACTCCTCCTCCACCCCGGTCGTCGCCGAGCCACTCATCGATTGGAGGTTCGGCGTCGTCAGCGGCGACGCGTTCATCCCCGACACCGGCCGACTCAGTGGTACACTCCCTCGGTTCTTCGATTCCTCAATCACCATCATTAACTTGTTGATATCCGCTGGCATCCCTATCTTCCCAAAAAATTGTAAGTGGGAACTCTGGGCTATCCGTAATGCTCTCCATGATAATCCTGTTTTTCGCTGTTTGAAAAAAAAAAATCATTTAAGGAACGATCATCAAAACCACAAAACAAAAATTGGATAAATGAATGAACTCACTTCTTGGAGCTGTTGAACTTGTGATTTTATGGTTTCAGCTTTAGGATCGGTATCGGGAGGCAGATTCTCCTGAAGCTGTTTCAACTGAAGATCAAGATGCTGAATTTTCAGATGCAGAGTTTTCAGATCAGGGACCCTAAGACAAAAAAAAGGGAGATCGAAAAAGAAGGGGTTTCAGTAAGAGATGAGACACAGTCAAGCAAACAAAAAGAGATAGATACCCGGCGGTAGGATCGATATTTTCGATCGAGTCCAACGTGACTTTGTTTTCCCAAAGTTTACTGAGAGCAGGTGTCCCCACTGGATGAGGAAACTTGACCGGGTTACTGGTGATGCGTTTGTATCCAGGCGCCGGATCGAGGTCGTCTAAGCTAGCTTTCTCAAAACTGGCACACGAGCCAGCTTTCCACATGATCTAAATCAAACAAAGGGTGATGAATTTGAGTACCAAGAAAAAAAGCCACTGTTTTTCATAGTGGTAGTGGATGATGAGTTAGAAGCTTACCCAACTAGATTCTCGAATCAGAATTTGTTGGATCGTCATTGCGAAGATTTCCCCATGAGGTGGAGTAGCATAAAGCGTTTTCCAGACCTCTCCACTCAACTTGAGTACCCAAGCCTCCTACTCATCCAGACATACGCGCATATATCCCGACCACAGAAAAAAAAAGAATCGTTGTTTAATTAATTTGCTTCTTACATATAGGTAGGAGAGAAAGAGTGGGGTAAAGGACTGACATCTTTGGCTTGATAGACGTAAGGGATTTCACTGATCCGGTTTGATTTCGGTAAGGAGGCGCGTTTGGCTCGTTCTTCAGGAGAGAAGCCACGTATATATTGCAAGATGATTAAGAATTGAGTCAAGACTTGACGTCGGAAGTAAGGGTCTGCAATCTAGAACCGGGGGATTAAAAATAAGTGGGTTAATTGAAGGGAATAGATAAGAGGAGACAGAAGGGGGATGGATGACGAACCTCGAGGTCCAACAAGTTACTCTTGGTCAAGAACTTGGGAAAGAAGAACTGTTCGAGTCCGTCCATGTCTTCAGATTTATGGAGATGGCTGGTGCCGAGTTCGAGTTCTTTCTTGGTCATCCTCCCAAAGACTTCCAACGTCTTCGAGATCCCGTCCTTGAGTTTTTTGAGGTTCGGAGTCGAGGGTTGGGATGAGTTGGGATCAAGTGTCGCTGAAGTCGCTGAAGTCGCTGAAGTCGTCGCTGTTGTTGTCGTTGTTGTTGATGATGAGGGGAGTGCTGGTGGGACGGTCGGGTCAGGCGTCCAGGACTTGAATAGCTCTGGCGGGTTCGAAAGGAGAGCTTGTAGGGACCAGAATCGCGTATAAAATTCACGCTTGTCGGTAGCTTGATATCAATTCACAGGTACATTATCAGTGCGGGGGGTTCTGCTGAAAATAAATAAATGAAACTTGATTCACCTGACTTGGATGCCTTGACTCGAGCCGAATCATCTGGTTTGATCTCTTCGTTTGGTCTCGGGGTCGAATCTTGGGGAGTAATTTTCTCGATCTCTTTACTGCCCGCTTCGATTTCATCGGTAGTACTATTATTATTGGAGATGAGCATGGTCGAGGGGGGTGAGTCGAATTGGTCGAACTTGGTGATGTTCCCATGATTGAATGCTCCTCGTAGGTTGACACCACTCTTCTCGGCGATCGGGAAGACTGAGGATAAGAAGCATAAGATCCTCCCACAGAACACGGTATGCAATGATTTCGAGAGTCTTCTGAGGAGGTTGTTTTGCATCCTTAGGAAGATTAGCCCTTTCCCTCTGTCGGGCAACATATCCTGTGATTTTTTTTGTATGAGCAATCAATATTTTCGTTCTTCATATTTAATTTTGGGTTTTTTTTTGACAGTGCTTACGACAGTCAATCTTTGGACTCTTGACTCGAGATATCCAAAGATGAATTGGGCCTGTTGGACGGTCGAAGCCTCGAGTATCTCTTCAATACAGCCCAGTGCCAGTTCGGGTGCAGCGAGACCATGATCGATGAAGGCTAGTACGAGATCGAGTAGATGGTAGAGCGTGTAGTCTTGTTCTCCTTCTTTTCTGTTCTGATTGAGATGACTGATGAGTGATGAGAAGACTGATGAGATGATCAATCGTCTGAGTTCGGTTGCTTGTTCTGGCAGTGCTGGCAGCTGCTCTGTTATTTCTTGTATGATGTTTTGTCTTGTGGTTGGTGTGGTGGTTGTTCGTTGTTGTTTGTCTAGTCGGTCGATGTAGTTGGTTAGTTGGTTTGTGAGCTGGGTTTGGTAGTCTGAGTAGATGTTCTTGACCATCTTCGTTGTTGGTTGGTTGGTCATGAGCTTGTGTTGGTTTTTTTTGTCGATCAGTTTCAGAAGTCGGCTTATGGAGGGGATGGCCTTTTAGTGACAGCTCAGTGACATCCCCCAACTAAATGCGCTGCTTGCCGGGCAGAGCTTGTGAAATCCACCTGCATGCCCAAAGAGCCCTTAAATTTGGGATAGCAACCCATGTGGAGTTCCTCTGTGTAAGCTGGGTGGTTCATAAATCATATGCGTGTGTGAGTTCGCAGGTAAAATGTAATACACATGGGTGAGTTCTTTCAAATTAGACAGTGAGGTTGGACATTTCCTCAGACTAAATGCATGGGATGTTTTCCAACTTTTGGGTAATCGATGGTTGCAAGCAGTAAAAGATATTGTGGGGGAGCCCTGATGGGTTTATGATGATGATGCTGATGGCTTACCACATGAAGTGGCGGGTCTGAGGATCAAAGGGAGGTTTGGGGTAGTACGTCATTCTATTGAGGGAACTTCTTGCTGGTGCTTCATCCTCAACAGATGACTCTTCTGGGATTGGTTTCCATTGTATGTATACATGCAGATTTAAATGATCACATCTTTCTTGTTCACCACCTTGCAAGGGTCCATTTTTGACAATCACAGACTTGCAGCCACCACACTTGAAGTACTCCTTTGCACGTGCACACGGCAAGGTGGGTTACTACCAATTTTTCTCCCCCACAAGTGTCCTTTGCAGGGTATGCAGGGAACTCTGAAAGTGGACCCTCAGTGGCAGTTCCTGTGCACCTTCCAATGATACAGCCAATGGAGCTGGCAGTAGCAGTTGTGATGAAGGCTATCAAGACACAAAGGGTGCCAATCTTGGGGACCATTTTGATTGAGTGAGCTGACTTTAAGGTGTTTGAGGTGCAAATTGAACCAGGGTTGTCCTGATGTGACTGATCAAGATTAACACTCCAACCGTTATGCTATGGCGGAGGACATCAAACATCTCTCATATACTGTCCTTATGACATGGGAGCTTGTCATGCCTGATGGTCTGGGCTGTTGGTGCAGCTTAAAAATGGGGATTTTGTATTCAAACTACTCAGAGCACTTCATCAGAAAAATCATACAAAAAACAGAAACATTTTGGTGCATAGCTAATGTAATTTCAGCATATGATCTCTCAAGTTTTCTTAATTGGCTTCAAGCCATAGCTACTTCAGATGATCATGGAAGGACTGGATCAAGATACTTTGATCCAAGTATGTCCAAGCCAATCAGGAAAACCAAGTTCAATAACTCTTTAAGAAGAAAAACTGTGTGGATTGTCCTTGAGACTTCTATTTTAATTTTCAAGATCCAGTCTCACTTAACCACACAGTGCACAAATATTTACACAGAAAAAAAAAACAGGAATTTCAATATCATCAAGCTGACTCAAATAGCAGTACTACTGGTTAATTTAGCAACTCAGTCTTTTTGCAACCCATTCCAATTCCTATAAAGACCTAATTCTATTGCAGTGGTGGCTGGAGTGGGACACTGGTTGCTTCCCAGTTATTAACATCAGCTTTGATTATGGAATATTCATCAACCAAAACCCATTAGTTTGCTTTTTCAATTAGCATAAACGTTTTCATACCTTAGCTAGCCATACCAGAAATTGCCTATGATTGAGTTGATGTTACATAGGGTGGGTATCTATAGACCCTGCAGAATCAGATTTACTCCTGCTGAAGTCAGTGGAATCTGATGGAAGGGCATACAGTTCTGGAACAGGAGAAGTCCTCCATATAAACTCTCAATAGCCTGACTCACAATTGCCAGTTCCAATGGCTGAGATCACCTTGTTAAAAGTTGCTGATAGCATTTTTTTGTTTTTTATGCATTATTATTTCATATTTATTGTAAAATATCAGTCCCAAGTCACTTTTTTTCCATTCTTTCATATTTATTGAAAATATCATTCCCAAGTCACTGTTTTTCCTTTTGTCATATTTGTTGTAAGACATCTTAAACTAAGGGGCTTGGAAAAACGACTCCTAAAAATTAGTCGACGACTCCCGTTTTCGTCGGGAGGTCGTCGGACGGGAGTCGTTCTTCCAATTCCCCCCAAAAAAAGGGGAGTCGTCGTCCTAATTTCAATGGCGATTTTTTATTTTTTTTTATTAAAAAAATGGGAGTCGCCCGCCTAAAGGGCAGGAGTCGTCGTACCAATTTAGCCGAATATTTTTTATTTTTTTTCATTAAAAATTTTGGGAGTCGTCCGCCTAAAGGGCGGGAGTCGGCGCCCCAATTTATCCAACTAATCTAATTTTTTTTTATTAAAAAAAAAGGGAGTCGTCCGCCTAAAGGGCGGGAGTCGGCGCACCAATTATAACCAATATTTTAACCTTTTTTCTGCATTAAAAAAACGGGAGTCGTCCAACTCAAAACAGGAGTCATTGCCATATAGCGTCCCTAAAAACTCAAAAAAAATTCAGCCACTGG